GCCGAAGCAGAGATATTCAGAGAGCTTTCTAGTTTTGACTGGACTTTCTCCGCTGTGCATTGATTGGCTCCTTGCTCCAACCTTCCTCCTCCTTCACTTTGGTTTCACTCCACATCTGCCCCGCTTACCCTCTTCTTGTTCCTTTTTTGTTCATTTAGCTTATCTCCTCCTAAGTAAAACCATCAAATAAATAAAATTAAATTTAAATTTAAAAACCATGGACTAACATGCCTTTTGCTGCCATCACATTTTCACTCTGCTTGCATGTTATACCCCTTCTCTTACCCAGTCTTTCTTGCCTGTTTAGATTGCAAGCTCTCTGGGGCAGGGACTACCCACTATAGCACCCAGCACACTGTGGCCTCATTCTTGGCTGGCCCTTAGACACTGCTGTAATAAACGTGGTTCATAATAAATCATAAATAATAATAATAATACCACCACCACCAATTAAAATGCAGTGAGGTATATTGAGCCATGCGGTCTTATGGTATTTTGGTGGGAGGAGACCAACACGTCTAGAAGACATTTATCTTTGAAAAACTATGACAGAGCATATTCAGTAGCTAGTCTCCATACTGTTTTGTTTTTTTTTTAAATCAGCAATGAGGTTTCAGTATCCCTGCATCAATGGAAGTGTCCCAGAGAATTTTCCTGAACTACTTGTAAGCATGTGCCCTGATTAGCATCTCACACAATCAGGTGCCAAACACCTCTTTATGCACAGAACAGGTATGGTGCTACCAGCGCACACTCCCTGCAGTACTGTATCCATAGGCCTCAGTCCCCAATTGCAAAGGCTCTCTGCTCTGTATTTCCTTGCCTTGGTGGGCTTCTTTCTTGTGCTTAACACGATTTAGCCCTTGTCTACACAGGGAAGTTGTACTAGTATAACCTAAGGTGTGAATTTAGACAGATACAGTCAGTGCTTCATTTGTAATGAAAGAGGTGCCAGGACACAATTTTTTTTTACATTCATAACTGATGCAGCAAGCCAAGAGGTGCCGTGGCTATGGACTGCCAAGCCCCATGGTGCAAATTAAGCACCAGAAATAGTTACATCAGTGTAAACTCCTGTTTTCACACTCTTATTCTAGTCTGAGTGGCTTTTTATGTTTTTTTAAGCCAATTTGGAACAGGTTTAAATTAATCCAAAATAATGGTCAACATGAGTTTACACTACACCAGTGCAAGTTTTGGTATTGACAAGCCCTTTGGCCCTGATCCTCAACACTATTTAGGCTCCTAAATTCCACAGATTTCAAGGGAAGCGAGGAGCCTGTATACCTTTGAGGATCTGGGCCTTGGAGACTACTGGCCGGATCATGAGATGGTGTAAGGTGGTGTAACTCCATTGTAGTCAATGGAAATACACTGATTTATACCTCCCAAGGATCTGGGCCGATAACTCCTTTTTTAATCAGTGACTTTTTGCACAGCAGTGTATAGTGCCACTATCCGGACAGCATAATCATCAAAATAGTGCTTCGTTTCACTTATTTACTGGAGGAACATAACGAGCACAGCCATCATGTCATCTCTATTTTTGACATCCTAACCAAGCCGGTGATGCACAAGGCAAGTTGGCACAAACTTTTCTTTGGTTTGCTCAACATAATGGTCTCATGCATGACATACAGCTCTTGGCCAAAATGAGTTGTAAGTTAGCCCAGAAGTTGGTATATGTTGGGGTAACTTGCCTCAATCTGGCATTTCTCCTAGAACCAAACCCACCTGTTAAAATGAGTGCAACATCCATTGCTGTCCATAGGAGCTGAACTTTCATGCCAGGAGTTACTTGGTCCCTCAGAAAAATAATGGGAACGATGTAACCATAAATTAATGGAGGGGCAGTGGCTTTCTTCCACCTCATTCGCTGTCTTGCCACACCGTCCTCCTCTTTGGACCCTTTTGCATGTGTGCAGCATCTCACATCTGCTGGAGCAAGTAGGGAACAAAGCACCCACATTCCAAAGCACCACACACTAGACAGTGTGGCAACATTAACTTATTCTACTGCCATGAAATACCCTGTTACCCATGCAAACACACCTAGCTGGGTCTCATACTGGGAAATGCCCATTATTTCTTAACATGAGTTTTATTGTTGAATTTTCCAGGCAGCTTGGCTTCACCTCCCTGGACCTCTGCTCTCACTAAATTGTCCAGGTGGCCTCTCTCAGGGCCTCCACCCCTTCTGTGTGCCAAGGAAACGGTTCATTGGCTGGCTGAGCTACTGTGCTGTACCTAAAACAAAGGCATCATAGTTTCACAGCTACACCCCACTACTGAGACCAAATCAAGGCAAGTTACATTACTTTGCTGCTTAGGACCATTTTCTGATCCACTTCCATCACTCTTTTTCTCACCATTGAAACGAAGTCCAACTCCCTCCATGAGAGTTGAATCACTTAGGGAGGTTGTGTGTTCTTATGTGGGTCCCCAATAGGTGGCAGTCCATACATCACTCCAATGTACTATTTATAAGGTGCAAATAATGTAAGACAGGACACTGAAGACACAAATTGCACATACTGAGCCATCACAAAAGCCTTTATAAAGAAGGCCATAAGTGTTTCTTGAAACTGAATAAAGTTGCTGCCTTTTCCGTGGTGTAGGTAGTTTCTTATATTTGTCTACAACAGCAACCTACAAAACATGTCTCCCTGCAGACCATTTGGTTCTAGGCACTTTACAAAAAACACACAAATCTACTCGTTTTCAAACATTTTCCATTCATAAAAATATGACAAACTTTGCTATATAGCTGTTCTTTGCGTTCTTCCATCAAGACCAGTTGGTTTATTACTATGGTAATGATAGTAACAAAAAGAAGCAGTCCACATTAAGGACTGTGTGTCTATAAAGCGTTAGGTAAAATTCAAGCCATTTTCTCAGTATGTTTATTTTTAATTGAGCACCTGAAACTGTGTATAAAAATATTTTTTGCAAATTTGTGACTAATACATGTCAAAAATCAATTTACGCCCTGCCCCACCCCCTTAAAATAAATCTGTATTTGGGCTGATAGAGGACCTGTAAAAGGCCCAGATTTAGCAATATATTCTCTGAAACAACCAGCTATGGTTTACAAATTGAGTTTGCAATGGAAAGCCTTAGAGAAGCATTAACCCTCTCTGAGTTAATGGTTTCCACCCAGTTCATTATGATAGTGACTAAAAGTCATTACCCAGCCCATAGCTCTCGCTGAAATGAGTCTGTAGACTCCATCCAGTATAGCATGGGCAGCTGTTTAGAGCACATGCACAAAATACCCCATTAATACAATCACTATTCATTAGCTCCCTTGCACCAGACAACCCACATTTTGTCTGCTTTGTGCCAGAGCAGCTGTAAAGGTACTTTAGCGAACTTACTGTGACTTCCCCCCTTTCAGGGAATCCTTCAATGGCGCGTGGTATAAAGGACAGGGCCAGAATGCTGTTCTGCAACAATGGGCCTTTGGGCCAGGACATAGGCAGCTAGGCATTAGTTGAAGTCTGCTCTGATTTCCATTTAGGAATAGCCTGGTGCCAGAATTTGAGGAAATACAAAGACTAATGCCACTTTGCTGCCTTGCTGCCCTCCCTCTACCCACATACGTCTTTCTCTGGCCCTGACTAGACTACAGGACCTGACCCCTTCATGGGGAAGCCATGGATTGAGTGTGTAGAGAACAGACTGACAACTAACAATTATTCTCTCGATTGTGTTGCATCAGAGGGTTCTGCGGTGAACATATTTATTTAATTTGTACAGGTTAAATGCTTGGGACACAAAAGCACATGACTACTGCAGGAGTGCATCATTCAGCATGTGTTTAAATCTTCAGCCCAATGAGAGTTTTAGCATCATAAAAGGCTATCAGAAAAGGACAGCACATGAAAACTCCTCAGCTTGGGACCAAAGAAGGAGAAAGAAGCCAGAGTGTTGGTTTTTTTAAACATTACTTTTCATATTGAGGGGGAGGAGGTCTCGGTCATTTAGAGATTTTACAATCGCATTTTAATGTCAACAGAAAATTGTCTTTACAATGGCTACACAATACATGTTTCTATTTTGAATATTTTCTAGATCATCATTAAAAAAGAATCATCGTTCAGCAGCTAGCTGAAACTGACAAAAGCAAACGGGAGTCATGCTGCTGAGGCGCTGTACTGCAAATTTACCTTTTACATTCTAAGATAGAACTGTGCCCTGCCAAGTGTCAGACAAACACTGGAAGGAGACCCAAGTTTTACTGTTCTACACTTTTATCACAGCCTCTTTGTTGTGTGCTCTTCAGAATAGGCTCCACAAGCTCCACAAACTGGGAGGGGGGAGGCGTTATCCCTGCATTTTGAGCAATGAAGCTGCATTTCAAAAGAATAGACTAAAACCTCTCCAATGACATGCCCATTGCCCCATTAAATAGTACATACGGTGAGCATTTCCTTTCCATTTTCAGCATTGTTCATTTTAAAGCAACCTTTAAGGGCATGCTGGACAGTCTAAGAAACGATGGTCATTTCAAGGCCAACAACCAATGAAAGAAAATAAGTGGGAATAAAAAGCTAGTGGTAGTAATGAGCAAAGACTTCACCCTCAACAATCCTTTCACAAAAGTTCTTTTAAAATTGAACTAAATTTCTGATGCACAATTAAATGATAGAATATTTAGCCTAATTTGTTAGGTTACTGGTGTAACAGATGAAGTGAACCAAAAAGCGAGCATGAAGTGAAATACTTTTGCAGGTGCGTGAGGGCTCGTGGAGAACAGATGTCATATAGAAAATACATCCATACAATGCACCTCCAATGTGATGCTAAAAATCTTTTCTTATAATCTCCCAACACACACACCATGGAGGCATTTCAACTCTGTCTAGGTGTGAGAATCCACAGTTTATGAGCCTGGTTTAGATTAGCCTGTTGCATCACTCAAAATCTCTGTTGTCTTTAATAGAAGTCTCTTATTTGAATTCCTCAAACCGGAGGCATTTTAGAGAACAAATATAGGGTTTTTCCTTCACAAACAGCTGTATTTATTCATATATAAAACTGAATTTCATCTTAAAACCAGGAGTATACAGATTAAATTGTACTTTCTAAACCTTGGAGAAGGGAAAAATAAATACACCTGGCTTCTGATCTCTGTTGAAAACAAAAGTGTCATGTCCTGCAGTAATGTGTTCGCTAAAAATGAGATTTTCCTAAGTGACTGACTATCTGGCTGTCAGGGTATCAGACTAAGCACTCTTTTGACAGCAGCCATTGAAAGTTCAGCACCCACACAACAGTTATCTACACATGTTCCCCCTCAGGGTTCCATGTAAAGATAATATTTAATGATGTTACAGACAAAACAGGCTGCAGAGTTCTAGAAATAATAGGGAAAGCACAGAAATGGGAAGGTACTCTTCGCTCATCTTTTCCTTGCTCTGGTCACAATTTTATGCTACAACTTTAGGCCTGATATTTAGATCCTGGCGGGCAACCGTGAGCTTGCAAGTACTTTCAAGGGCACTTTCCTACCACTATTGGCCATGTGGGCAGGTATTATAGATATTAATGCCTGTACCTGCAACGGTATTTTATCATATCAGTTGCAACTGCAGGTGCATGTGTTAGGAAAGCACAGGGTGGGTTAAAACCCCATTTAAAATCAGATCCTTATTTTAAAACGGGTCTTTTTCCTCATGTTGTTATAGAGAAACAGAAAATGACAGGTTTTTGTTTGTTTTGTCTTTAATTTTAAAAGGCACCAGTCTACACATAGCATTGGGGCAGGGGGGTCATACCAGGTCAGATCATTCATCCATCTAGTCTGGTATCAAACTATTGTCGAATCAAGGGGACCTTTCATAAAACTTCTACAGCACACCTACTCAGAAAGGGAGATTTTTTCCTCATCCCAGTAAGTGATCATCTTTTTCCCTAACACTATCCTTTATAACCACTCATAATTCTTATCTTAGCCAGTGTAACTTCAGATGAGTAAGTGCCTCTTGGGAATACATGCTTGAAAAATTTCAGGTTCTTAAATTTAAGCTGTTTTTCCTTAGAGAAAATATTTAAACCCCCATTTTTTGCTTTAAGTCCAAAAATTAGGTTTTTTTGAAATAAAAAAAAAAGAAGAACTTGCACACCAAGTTTCAGAAGGATGAAAGTTCAAAACGGTCCTGCTAGAACCCCTAGAAAACTGGGGTACTAACACAGAAGGAGCAACTGACTATTCACTATGGCAACACTAATGGGTGCCACTCCAGTGCAAGGTCTGGCTGACTTCATTTAGCAGGTTTTTAAACTCTTAAGTCCTTGAGAGTCTTTAAACATGGATAATATCCTCCCTTTAGGCAAAACTGACATTTTATATATAGCAAATGCTGAAATTTACTCCAAGAGCCATCGACAGGCAATTTTGGACAAGTTGAAGCGATGACTGACTGGAAAGGACCGGGTACACTCTGCACTGGGAAAATGCATCAAGAAGTACACGTGTTGTCATTCATACCTGATATTAATGGTCTCCATAGGGACGACGTTTATCCTGTGAAGTCCCAACCCTACACCTTTGGCATCCATGAAAGGTTTGTCATGGCCTTCAATAGCACCAGGATTAAGCCACTGTTTATAATGCCTATTGGCGTGTGGTGCGGAAGCCTCCCAACTCCCACTGATTTCAGTGGGGGGAGGGGAGGATCAAATTTTCAAAAGAGCTCAGTCCCCAACTGCTTTTTTTTAGCCATATAAATAACTAGGTTTTTCAGACATGCTGAGCACCCAGCAGCTCCCACTGATCTTAATGGGTGATGAGCAGGTCTGAAAACCCTAGGGAACAGCAGGTTACTCCGAACAGTAACTCTGGTTTCAGATGCTTTTTCCATATGGATCCCTCTCATGGTATGTACATGCCTCATTTATGCGTGTTTGGAACCTTTTAGCTGGCAGTGTCCATTGGGGCCACGACATGTTCCCTGCATGCCTGTGATCCCTCGCCTGAGGGCATAAAGGCAAGTACAGTCCCAAACACCACAAATGGCTTGTCCACATGGGGAGTTATTCCAGAATAGCTCTTCCTGATCAACTGTGTGTGTGGACCCTCTTAATCCAAAAGAAGAGCATCTTATTCCAAATTAGTTTAAAGTAGATTAAGCTAGTTTGGAATAAGGCACTGTTATTATGGAATAAAAGTTTCCATAAATGGAGTAAAGCAGGGATAGGTAATCCACTTTAAATTCACACCCAACCTTATTCCACATTAACCTTCATGTGTACACAAGCCCACCGTTTACTCTCACTAGTTGAGTTGGTACACAGTGGGGTCAGTCTACTCTCAGGTATTATCAGAAAAAAACACAGCACCCCAGTCCTCACCCCATCAGTGAAACACTAGTTTTAGAATTAAAATAACTGTTTTCTTGTCCTGTTGGCAGTCACCTTTACTCTAGGCCACTGACTGATTGATTAGGCTGAGCTGCTTTCCCACCACTGACTAAACACCGGACAGTGTCCAGTGGACACTACTCACACCAGAAGATTCCAGAAGTTTGAGTACTTAATTCCGTAAGTGGGAAATGCAGAGGCAAACTGAAGAATTTCCTGATTCTTCTCAAAAACTTTACAGTGTTTTTTTGGCTCATGTGCAACGCATCAGGTTAGTCAGAGCCAGTGAAAAAGCTATATTTTGGCAAGTACTGTGTTGCTCTCTGGCATTTTCACAAAAACTACAATTCAAATTGAGCAAAGAGTTGCTTAATTTTCCTTAAAAATTTTGGCAATACAATATTGCTCCCCCACAAGAAGCTGGTAGTCATTTTTTTTTTAACTGGTATCTGATCAAAATCCATGGGTTTGCCTTAATTTGTAGACATAAGAGATACCTGCTGACTAGATGTGATGGCTTTTGGAACCATTCTTAAAAACATAATGAAAGCAGCATGGCATAGGCTAGTTGCCATTGCTAATGTGAAGACCAGCTGCTATGTAAAAATGACTTTGTTCTGAAGGGAATAGTGTGTAGTGAATCCAGCCTCTCTGTATCATCACACTCAGAAATCTGCCATCAGCTGAAGCCAGGGAACCATTGAAGCCATTTAATCTCTTTAGCAGATATTTAAAACAGGCCACTCAGTAGGTGGGAAGTTTTTTGTTTAGTGAATACAAATAATTCATTTGATTGCCCTTTCTCCTGGAATGAAATGGTACATCTGGACACTTAGGGATCCCTTCACCTTTACTTGCATAGGGAAATAGAAATGTTTGTGTAATTCTCTCAGGAATCTGGTCAGGATTTCACCATACATTGAAGAAGTCAAGAATTCTGCACTCCAAATCTGCTGATATCTGATCCATTGAAGGCAGTTATCTTATTTCACTGGAGACACTAACATCAAGTGTGACTGTAACCTGAATATGGTACATTTTGAGAGAGATATCATGTAACATTTATAGGGCAAGATTTATTTTATTTTAATTTATTGCTTTACAGACCAAACCTGGCTGTTTACTATTAAAAAAGCTTCTTACCAACTTCTAAAATGCCCAATATAATTTATGGAGATTTAATATATATCCAAAAGCTTCATAATTAAGTCCTATAAGCAACAGACTCTCTTGTCTTATTCAGAACCACTGATTTTACTTATTAAACTGTAAATTTGAGCTATAGCAATCTGCAGATACACTGTTACACATACCTACAGCCTTGAGAAAAAGCCACGAAAATACAAGATATCTTGTTGCTCGATCAGAGCAATGATTCAGTGTTGGCACTTTGTACTGTACTTTGAAAGAGCAAAAGAATGGCCAAATCAAGAGGTTTTACCAAAAAAATGTCAGGAATAAAGATGAAGACGACCTTAGTGAAGAAATGCTGCAGATTGCTCTTCTGCTTATACAAATTTGAACAAAAAGTTGTCTTCGCCCATTGCTTTTATCTAGTTATTTGGATATTAATCCATTTAATATATTAGCATACTGAGGAGTTCCTCTGTGCTTTTAAAGATGTACCTTAAAACAACTATACTGATCCTGAGAACGACAACAGGGGCAGAGAACAGTCCACACAAGTTACCACTGGCTTGTAACCTTACTGAGATGAGTTTACACAGCCTTTAATACACACTTCCAGCTCATCTGAACATAAAGTATGGCAATAATTCAACCAGGCTTTGAATATCTGGCAATGCAAGTAAAGAAAGTTAAAGTAATTTTGGCAGACTATGTAATTTTTCATCCTGCTGTGACTAACAACAGAGCTCACTTTTTTATTACAAACATTCCCTTTTCAATAAGGACACCCCAAAATATCATACCCCTTCATTCAAATGAGAAATGTTTGCTCTTAAAATCTTGCTGTATATTTAAAGTTTGCTATTTTGTTGAAATTGAGACACCAAGGAAAGAACCTGTTCTGAGGCTTTGATGTGCTTTGTCCCAAGGTATCCTGCACTGATACTGGCTGTGTCCTCTAAGAAATACCGATAGTTTACCATCATGCCACATGAAGCAGTGATCCCACGGGGGCTTGTGTCTGCCATCCAGTTTATCCGCCACAGCACAGCACCATTCTGAAGATGAAAGTTTGCTACTGGATTAAGGGCATATCCACGGTGTTTCTCTCCATACAGGTACCAAGCACAGAGCCTCATAAATGGTGAATGCAATGCTTTGACCAATTTTTCTGATCTCACCCATTCGTTGTTAGTTAAGAGCCTCTTTAGCTTTTCAGCAGCAGGGTCACCTGTGATCTCAGAGATTTCTTTGCATTCTGCATCTGTAAATAGTTCATTTCTCCCCTGTTCCTTTGTTTGTGAGGACAGAAGTCCAACGAGCCACTTGGTGAATCCTGGGATAGGTGACAGACTAGAAAACACTTTGATCTGAGGAAATTCCCCCTGTAGACCAAAAGAAAAAAAAAATCAAAAATCAAGCACAATAATTGCTTTTTTAAATAAATGAGAACTCTGACTCAATAAGAACTCTCACCAACAACTGTTTAGGACAATTTACTGTCAGTAGGGACAAATGGTTTTGAGAAAAGATTATTTTCTTTAGCCAAAAGTATGATTTACTACACTAGCTACTGGTGTGTGCAAATACCATATAAAATCACCTCTGTCAATAACAGATTAGTTTCAGGTAAGTGTTTGCCATTCTGTTAATATTTTTCCTTTACAACTGATAATTATAATCTACACAGTAAACCTCATCTAGGTCTATAGGTGTGTGTGTGTTGTGCCCATCAACATAGTACTGTGCCCATTAACAATCCTACCCAGAGGAGTAAGGTGAAAGGATTTGGCCATTTTATGACTTTCCTGCATTTTTATTATAATTTTCCCCTCTTTTGATGTGAAGAAATGTATGGGTAATTAGGGAGTGAGGGAGGGAGGGAATGAGGCTTAGGCTAAATTTCTATAATAAACTCAGGAGGCTTCTTCCGATTAGATACAAAAGGCAGTGTGTCTTGTTTAGGTTTTTAGTCTTGACGTCAGTAGCCCTTTTAGATGAACTAGTGCCACTTACGCAAGGATTTTTCTGAATCCAGCGTTTACTGAAGTCTGAGAAGAGATTATGTACCATTGGAAGCTACTTTTCGTACTATCCATGTGAACTGCAAACTCTAAGATAAAATTTTATGTTGAGAATAACACAGTTGATCCCATCAATCAACATTTATAGAATCAGCTGAAGTATCTCTTAGGTACTAACAGACACATGAACAGAAACCATTCCCTTTGGTAATTATGACAAAAATGAATGCTGGTATTGAGGTGCACTGATATCAGCACTAGCTGGAACCACCAAATTCACGGTCATTTGGATTTAACACATCAGGAATTAACTTGGATATCAAACCTGATGGGTGAAGGAGGGAGGAAGAAGCCAAAGTACAACAACGCAGAGTGCTTTTTAAAATTACTTTTCACACTGAGGGGGAGGAGGTTTCAGACATTTATAGACTTTACAATAACATCTTAACGTCAACATAAAATTGCCTTCACAATACATTTTTCTATTTTGAGTATTTTCTAGATCATCATTAAAAAATCATCTTCATTCAGATGCTATCTTAAATTGACAAATGCTAACGGCAATCATGCTGCTAAGGCACTGCACAGCAAATTTACCCTGTAAATTCTAAAATACGACAGTGCCCTATCAAGTGTCAGACACAAACATTGGAAGAAGAGCCCTTTTAAACTCCTGGATTTCCAAATGTAGGACTCAATCCCCTGAGCCCCTGTGGATGCCCAAAGAAGTGAAAAAGGCTCCGATGGGATCCAGCCATATAAAACAGCTTTCAGGACTAGAGTCTAAGAAACCTGAAATATGAAACACACACACAAAACCCCAAAATGTATGTCTACACAATTTAATATTCCTAAAAACAATACAAATTCTGCAAGAATAAAGGAATCTAGTGTTTGGTTAAAATATTATGCTGGTCACCAAGAGATCAAGATCAAAATACAGTTCTATATCCACTAGTCCTGTTAAAAAATAATTAAGCATACTTGATACCCAATATAATATGGAGTCTGATTTTCAAAAATTACCCACACCTAATCTGTTTGTCAATTACTTTAAATACATACAATAGTCAGCATTTGTGCAAAGAGCTTTCAAGTCAAAATGTGTAAGTGGCTATTTGTGCAAGCCAATACCAAATATGCATGCAAAATGACATGACAGCACCCCCTCAGGGAGCTTGGTCTGGCAGGGCAGTCAGTCAGCTGCTCTTGCCCGAGTCCTTATCGTAGCCCCATTCTTGGGCTATAAAGTATGTTAGTCTCAGTCCTATTGGGGTGTTCAGATTTCCCATTACAACTGCAGGGGTTAGCTGGTCCTGGTTGTCAGGGTGTCTAGAAACCCCTTGGGGTCTTAAGTCTCTGAGGGATGGAGAGGGAAACCCAGGTGTACCCACGCCACTGGGTTGCAGCTCAGGGCCCTTAAACTAGAGAGGCAATATCAAGACTCAACAACTCATTTTGCTGTGCCTTGAGTTCTTTCCTACCTCCCTTGGTTAGATAGACTTCCCCAGCCTGTAGATCTGGTTATCCCTTTGCTGGGGTTGTCTCTGGGTGGTTTCTCACCAGCTTGCTGGCAGTACCTTCCTTCTCCAGTTTTCTTTCTCTGGGGAAACTGTCCTGCCCCCTCTGCTTCTCAGCTCTTATTCTCCCAGCTGCTGTGAAGTTGCTAATTGGCACTGACAGGTGGTTACTGCATTAACTCCTTTGTCACCAGGCCACCATGGGGTCCACAAACCTCATCACATATACGCATCTGTACATACTACAAACTGAATTTGAATGTAACTCAAAATAGATTCCCCCGCACCAAACATTTAGAAGCTTGTCTCCTGCTAAAAAAAAGTCTTAAACAAAACAAAACTCACACTTCGGCCTAATGCGACAGATATCCTCTGCCAAACATTGCAATCCAGCAACTGAGGTAGTACATTTATTAGTCAGCGGGAAACATAAAGCATGCTATTCATAATGTTAGAATGTCCTGTCCAGTCATTATTTAATACTATCTGTTAGAGAAAGATCCTATTAGTGAGAAACACAAATGTTCACTCTGCAAAAGTTTGAGAAAAACGCCAAATATTTGTTAGCCAATGGAAGTAATTATTTGCCTCCTACTTTTTTAATGGTATTGCAGCAGTGCCACCAAACCAATGCCTCAAAAAAGTCACCGTACTGGCAGCTCTACAATGAAAAATAAATCAGGGATACCAATACCATCCCTGTAATTCTAATTCAGCTTTCCACTAAAAGCACTGCAGGACTGCCTAATGCTGCAGATAAATAGTTAGTGTATTCTAGAAATTTAGCCAAGTTACAGAAATATAGAAAACAATTGAAAACCTGTATACATCTGAACACTGAACAACACTTCTTCTTGTAGCTATGGCAACAAGTTTAAAAACATTGGTGAAAAATATAATTCTACAGCACAATTTACTAAAATACATGACTTACATTGTTTACTAATTATATTGTTTACTAATTGCTACAGTAAAGATTCATACCATAAACTGATCTCCCATGACTGACACTCCTAGAATCATCTCTCTCTTCCTATCAAATCCCACACAATTCAATTTAAAGCAAGAATGAGATTGCCAAAGAACTCAAGTCACATAGACAATACAATACAGCACTGATAGAATGAAGGCTGTGGAGCACTGAGCAGCATCACTATGTACACACAATTTTAATTTAGATATGGTATAAATTTTAGCTTGGACTGTCAAAGGAGCCCAAAAGGAATGGAAAATCAATGGAAAAATGGGAGCCTAAATTCCTTTCAAAATCTTTGCTATATTCTCTAGGTGCCTGGGAGCTAGCAAACTGTTTCACAGATTCTAAGAACTTGAAAACATGGGGGCTCTGAACAATCTCAACAAAAGCAGAATGGACAGTGAGCAGTGATCAAGTTATAGAAACCAGTGACCCTTCAGGATAAAGTCTAGGGACACATCTCTGGTTAAGGGTACACAAAGAACATCATATACAAAAAGATAAAAAAAAAAATCACAGAGTGTGTAGGCAGTGAGCCTCAACTTTGATGCAAAAATTAAGTTATTTTAATATATTCTGAAATGTTAGGTTGTTACAAACTTGCTTGTGCCTTTATTAAATTTGAAGAATTTCTTACAAATACTTTTATACATATGATATTGGAGAATAATAGTGTATGTATTTAGTTTTTCCTTCTTGTTTTATTAAATTTCTTTAAATGCTTAAAAATAGCATAAGCTTCTTTGGAATACTACCTGCTTAATACTACTGCCATATAAATAGTAAGATGTCTTATGGACACATATAGCATCAAATAACCTTGCTATCACTGTTTACTGATGAAACCAGTGACCCTTCAGGATACCTCTCTGGTTGAGGGTACACAAAGAACATCAGATAAAAAAAAAAGATTAACAAGATCACGGAAGTTTGTAGGCAGTAAGCCTCAACTTATATATGTATGTTTTTAATTGGGCAATTAATTATCTGGCAATTTCCCTATCAAACTCAGAAATACAAGTACCCTCTCCAAAGATTTTCAAGAAGGAACAGAATCTTCTGTGTAGACTATTTAAGCTAAAAAGGCTCTTTAAGAATCATGTAAGTTTTAAAAAGGCAATTTTGAGAACTTGACTTTTAATACAAATGTATTTGTACTTATTTGAAATAGAATTTCAAGTCCTACTAAACCCTAATAAAACTACAAGAATAGCTCAGAAAATGGGCTAAATACGAGAGTTAAAACTCTAACCTAAGATGTTCTGACAGCTCCCTCCACAAGAACAAAGACAGTTATTACAGGTTGCATATTCATGTTCTAAAGATGCTACCAGGACCACCTCACTAATGTCTTCAATCACAGAATGGGTGACAACAGTGAATATTCAATTTGAAGAACGCCCTAAAAGAGGTGTGTCTTGAACCTCTAGTCAAACTATGAAAGAATACATTTTTTCTGAATTAAGCAAGTAACATGAATTTTGCTCCCATCTGTTGACTTCAATGGCAAATCACACTCATCTCCTCTCATCCTGTTAATATCATCTCTTTAGAGCACACAAACAGCAGCATGACAACAAAGAACAAAGACGACCCCATACAGCATTAGGAAGGAACAACCTTCCAGTACAGCACTGCTTCTGGAACACAATGAGATCACTAAGATTTCAACATCAAGGGTGAAAGATTGCCAATGCACTAGATTTAATGTTTTCTTGTAATGATTTTAAATGAGATATTGAAATGCTATTCTACTTTATGATAGTAATGGCTTCTCCTGTTAAAACACCAAATTGGTTTAGATTATATATTTCCAGAGGGGAGACATATGCTAACCTGGATAAACAGAAAGAAGCATTGGATTT